AGGACATTACAGTGGGAGGTAGCTCAAGAGGACGCTACACCCAAGCCCAAGAAGATTTTATTAAGGGCCTCACACCTGACATTGCTGAAAAGTGTCGCAACGTCTTCTGCAATGCAGTGACCAAGACTTCTCTGTCCAACCAACCAAATCCCCTAGCAGAGAACGATTTAATGGAGTGGCCGGTCATTATGATGCTCTTAGAAGTCACAGCCAATGCTGGCCAAAAAGTTGGGACGCTAATTGACCTTGCGTCCGATACAAACTATATAACTCATGACGCAGCTGAACAGTTGAACCTCAGAAGTGAACCCATAACTCTTGTCGTCCACGGTGTGGGAGGGATGAAAGTACAAGTTACTACGAAACGATACCTCCTAAAGATCCGGGTCCGAACAGAGAAGGGCAACTACAGGTCCCACCAGCTCCTCTGCTATGGCTTGGACAGCATTGCAGATGTCCACAGGCATGTGACAGCCAAAAGCACTCCAAACGTTCTTCCCAGACATCCCCCTCAGTGAACTTGTGAGACCAAAAGAAATCCAGCTATTGATAAGCCACAAAGAAGGCCGGTTGGTCCCACAAAAGATACGGACAGTTGGGGATCTTGTCTTGTGGGATGGACCACTGGGGAAAACAGTCGCAGGGTCACATCCTGATCTGCTCGAAGAGGCCAGAATCACAGCTCATCAATCCAGGACACACTTCGCCAGGTCTATGAGAACGGCTGCGATGCTGTATACAGAGCATGTCTGCACCTCCAACACCAAACACTCCCACTCAAGAGCCACTAACCGCGACTTTATCGATTGGTGGAAATGGGATAGCATCGGTGCGGCCTGCACCCCAAGATGCGGAGGCTGCCGTTGCGGCAATTGCCAACCAGGTGGCAAAGACATGACGCTGGCTGAGGAGCGAGAACTAGAGGTAGTAATGAGCGGCCTGACGTATGCTGGTGCTGATGACCACAGTGACAGTCCCCACTGGCATGCCAGTTATCCGTGGTTGGAGGACCCCTGCACATTACCCAACAACAAACGAGCTGTGGAGGCAACTTTTTCCAGAACAGAGAGGCAGCTTGCCAAAGACCCACAGTGGAAGAAGGCCTACAGTGCTCAAGTACACGAAATGGTTGACCGGCGGGCTGCCAAAAAACTGACTGCAGACGATCTACTTACCTGGAAAGGCCCCGTCTGGTATATAAGTCATCTCATTGCTCCCAACCCCCACTCTGTTACCACGCCAGTGAGACTCGTCTGGAACAGTAGTCAAAGATACAAAGGTCAAAGCCTAAACGATCTGTTGATAAAAGGCCCCGACGTCCTCAACCCAATCCGAGCTGTACTCCTAAAGTTCCGACAAGGCTCCTTCGCCGCTCTTGGAGACATTAGGAAAATGTATAACTCAGTCTGGCTCGAAGAGCGGGAGGTTCATCTACACCGGTTCTTGTGGCGTGACTCAGAGAACGAGGAGCTGGAAGAATACGCAATCACGCGTGTGAATATTGGGGACAAGCCAGCAGGTTGTATTGCGCAACTGGCAATGAGGGAGACGTCCAAACTACCGCAGTTCAGCCACCTGAAAGATGAGCAAAGAGTGTTGCAAGAACACAGTTACGTCGATGACATCCTAACGTCACACAACTGCCAGGAAAGACTCAAAACCATAACAGAAAACGTGGAACAGATTTTGAAGGCAGGAGGTTTCGCACTCAAACCATGGGTCTTCTCGGGGCAGTGTGGGGGAGGAAAAGAGGAGACATCGCCGAAGATTGTCGTCCTGCCAAACCAAATGAAAGATGATGACAACAAGGCGCTTGGTCTTGGCTACATCGTGGAGGAGGACGAATTACATGTCTTGGTGAGGATCAACTTCTCCAAGCGAAAGAAAAAAATGCGGCTCGGCCAGGATTTGCTACTGGATGAAGTGATGGCACAGACACCAAACCCATTGACAAGACGCGAGTTGCTGAGCCAGGTTGCTGGGTTATATGATCCGATCGGCTTGACAACACCAGCAAAGCAGAAGGGGGCCATCTTAGTTCGAAGAGCGTTCCAAGAGGCAAAGCCAAAAAACAGCACTGTCAAAGACACATGGGATTTGGCTCTATCTGACGACCTGCGTCAAGACGCAATACATTTATTCAAAGAATATGTCCAACTGAGTGGAATCACATTTCCAAGAGCCCTCACTCCACCAGATGCGTCAACTGAGCCTATCGCAATCACTTTCTCGGATGGCAGTGAAAACTCTTATGGTGCTGTCCTCTACTTGCGGTGGAATTGTGGAACTCAAATAAGGACTCGACTAGTGGAGTCAAAAGCAAAACTGACACCTCTAGACCACAAAGGGGATGCAGTAAAAGCTGAGCTCTGTGGTGCAGTGTTTGCAAGCCGCCTAAAAAGGTTTTTTGAAGAGCATACCCAGATCAAAGCCAGCCAGTGGTACCATTTGGTGGACAGCCAGACCATCCTTGGAGCTATCCAACGAGAAAGCTATGGCTTTCAAACTTTCTTTGCCAACAGGATCGGAGAAATACAGAGCAGCACACAGCCACAAAACTGGTGGTGGGTCCCTGGTCAACTCAACGTAGCGGACATGATCACCCGTGGAGGTGGACCAAAGGAACTGGACTCTTACTCAGAGTGGCAGCAAGGGCCTGACTTCTTACACCACCCAGAAAGCGAGTGGCCAATTAAGTCTGCAAAAGAAGTTTCTGCCGCTGCTCGTGAAAGCATCACAACCATGCAAAAGAAATCATTCGTGGCAGCACTTACCAGAGCCCAAACAAGGCGCCAAAATGAAGTTCCAGTCCATAGACATCCCGCTGGTACAGTCATCCAAAGCTTGATGGATGTAAAGCGTTTCAGCAGTCTATCTCGTCTGGTCAAAACCATCGCTTTAGTTTGGAGGGCTGCCAGAAGATTCCTGACACCAGACAAATCCATAAAGGACCCAAAGTGGGAGGCAATCCCAACGGAAGGCGTCGTCAGCGCCTCTGAACGTCAAGATGCCCTCCGAGACCTCTTCCTTGCTGCACAAGAAGGAGTAACCTTCCCAGCTACGACCACAGACCGCTTGGTGGTATATAGAGAACCTGAAACAGGTCTGCTAGTCTGCGGAGGAAGAATCCACGGCTTCAGGGAAGACGGCCGAGCAGTACCCCTACTACCTCCCAACGCATGGGTGTCCACTCTTATGGCAAGAGAGGCTCACAACGAGGCCCATGAAGGCGTGGCTGCAACCTTGCTGAAGATGAGGAGGAGTGCTTGGGTCATTAGAGGAAGAAGGATTGCCCAAAAAGTGGTGGGAGGCTGTATTTTCTGCAAAAAGTCCAAAGCAAAACTTTGTCAGCAGATAATGGGGGACCTGCCCCCTGAGAGAACCAGGCCTGCCGCGCCATTCGAATATACTACAGTGGATCTATTCGGGCCATACCACGTTAGAGACGACATTAAAAGACGAGTCACCACAAAAGTATGGGGTGTTGTGTTCAGCTGCATGACCAGTAGGGCAGTACACGCCGACCTGGTCAACACATTGTCCACAGAGAGCTTCCTTTTGACCTACCAACGGTTCACTGCAATCAGAGGGCATCCACGAAGGATTTGGTCTGATCCAGGGACAAACTTTGTCGGTGCCAAACCTGTCCTAAAGGATCTATACAGCTTCCTTGACGCTCAAAACAAAACTGCTATAGAGGAGTTATCGGCTCAAAAAGGCACCAAGTGGGATTGGACAATCCATCCAGCTGATTCACCTCACCGAAATGGGGCTGCTGAAGCCGCTGTTCGCATCCTCAAAAAGGCACTCCAGAGCTTGGGCCCCAGCGCTGGCCTCAGTTATAGCGAGTTCCAAACAACTCTGCAACTCGCTGCTAACCTCGCCAACGAGCGACCAATAGATGCCACAGTCCAAAGCCACGAAGACTGCGTTCAGTACGTATCACCCAACACGCTTCTCCTGGGCCGTGCCTCTCCAATCGGGGACATCAAAACATTTGACTTCACAAGATACCCCTACAAGAGGCTCAGAGAGATGCAGCACCAAGTTGACAAGTTCTGGAGGTCCTGGAGCCAGCTTGCTGGCCCAAACATGTTTGTTAGAAGCAAATGGCATACCTCACATCGAAACGTTGCCGTTGGTGATGTCGTCTGGTTATGTGACCAGAATGCAGTGAGGGGCCAGTTCAAACTAGGACGCGTTGTGGCTGTGAATCCTGACGGTAGGGGCGTTGTTCGAGATGTAAACGTCAAAGTGGTCCAGAGCTCATCTCTTCCAGTGACAAGGCCCACAACAGGCAAGCAGTCACGTAAAGTCCTGAAGGATGCTGCCCAAACAACAGTCCTGCACAGAGACGTTCGACGCTTGGTTGTTCTGCTACCAGCTGAGGACCAAGCTTAAGCTTGAAGTTGGTCCTTACCTGCAGTTCGCCGTTTCTGGTTTACGATCTCCCCATCGGTTCCCGTGCAAAGATCGAGTGGGAGGTGTGCTGGCGAACTGCGTTGTAGTCCCGCTCCCCCTCCTCACCGGAGGGAAATGGTGGGTGGAACGGCTCACCTGCGTGATCTGCATCCACCCGGGGTAGTTAAAAGGGACGGACACGGACACTTCTGTGTGTGAGTTCGAGTGGGACAAGCGATCTCAGCGGCCAAGCAGCGCAAAAAGACAACAATAAAGACAAAAACTGTGCAAGAGCAACCCTCTCACAACCCCATGAGAGACAGCCGGTAAGCGCCGTTCCTCACTTGCAATCGCTTGAACTTACGCGGCGACGCGTTCAAGAGCCCTTGGGAGGAGAGGAAACACGGACTCAAAAAACAGTTACTTTGTTTGATTGTTGTTTATAAATTGTACTGTTGTTAGAGAAAACAAAACCTAACTCCAGGGAGGAATGCGGGTTAACTAGTCTGTGTTCGTTAATATTATGTTCACTACTAATTAACAAAATTCGCCTTATATTCGCGTTATGTTAAAATTATGAAAAATGTTAAGTTTAAAAACTGAATGTTTCATGTATACGGATCATGTTTGGAAAACGCAGTTCGCAATCATGTAAAAATCAATCACTTAGTGATAAAATGTTAAAATCAAGTACTTAGTGTTAAAATGTTGAAATATATTACTTTAAAAATGTGCTAAAACCAGAACTGTTGATCCTTTGATAAAAAGCTAAGATAATGTATTAAGTTTCAAATGTGGTTAAAAACTTAGGGAATAGACTTTACTTTTGTGAAAATAGACTTTAGTTTGTAACTCATTTGGTTAATTGGCATGTGTTAATACTACAATACAACTATAAAATGTATAAGAATGTTTAAAAAAGGTCTTAAACACACAGTTTACTGGTATTTGCTTAAAACCAGGTTAAAATATAGATTAACTCATTTGGGGGTAAATATTATTTAAAATAAGATACTATTTTGTTTACTAGCAGGAACATTATTTGTTGAAGGTGCAATTAGAAGACTGTTTATTTGCATAGGAAAATGACTGTATGTTTCTGTTCTCCTTTTGAGGTTTTTCACCTGAACCTAAAGCTGAAACCAAGCCAAATAAATGGCATGAATCAAGAACAATGGCTGATCATTGAGTGAAATCCAGTTCAAACTCATATGTGGAGGGTTTATCCCTTTCAAGTGGGGAATTTGCACAAACATATCACCAAATAACTTGACAATATGTGTATGTGTGTGTGTGTTTGTGTGTGTGTGTGTGTTTGTCTGTGTGTGTGTCTGTGTGTATGTGTGTGTGTGTGTGTTTGTCAGTGTGTATATGTGTGTGTGTCTGTGTGTATGTGTGTCTGTTTGTATGTGTGTGTGTGTTTGTGTGTGTCTGTGTGTGTGTCTGTTTGTGTGTGTGCGCCTATGTGTGTGTGTGTTTGTCTGTGTGTGTGTGTTTGTCTGTGTCTGTGTGTTTTTGTGTGTCTATGTGTGCGTCTGTGTGTGTGCATATATATGTGTGTGTGTCTGTGCATGAATGTGTGTGTGTAAAATGCGTCTGTATGTGTGTGTGTCTGTCTGTGCGTCTGTGCGCCCGTGTCTCTGTACGTCTGGGTGTGTGTGTGTGTCTCTGTGTGTGTGTGTCTCTGTGTGTGTACATGTGTGTTGTATGATGTCAGCTAATTCACAAGTTGAACATGTGACAAAAATACCCAGGATGCTTTTCTTTACGTCACACTCGTCGTCATGGCGCCACATATTTCCCTCTGTGTGTTTCTCACATGAGAGAGACACAGTGGGAATGTCCCTGTGATCTCACACGTTCTGCTCCAGAATCCAGCCTCAGAACTGGGTCTACAGCCTCAGACCTGGGTCTACAGCCTCAGACCTGGATCTACAGCCTCAGACCTGGGTCTACAGCCTCAGACCTGGGTCTACAGCCTCAGACCTGGATCTACAGCCTCAGACCTGGGTCTACAGCCTCAGTCCTGGGTCTACAGCCTCAGACCTGGGTCTACAGCCTCAGACCTGGATCTACAGCCTCAGACCTGGGTCTACAGCCTCAGACCTGGATCTACAGCCTCAGTCCTGGGTCTACAGCCTCAGACCTGGATCTACAGCCTCAGTCCTGGGTCTACAGCCTCAGACCTGGGTCTACAGCCTCAGACCTGGGTCTACAGCCTGAGTCCTGGGTCTACAGCCTCAGTCCTGGGTCTCTGCTCTCTCTCTGCTCTCGCTCTCTCCTCTCTCTGCACTCTCTCTCTCTCTCTCCTCTCTCTCTGCTCTCTCTCTCTCTCCTCTCTCTCTAGTCTCTCTCTCTCTCCTCTCTCCAGTACCAGTGAGAGGCAGGACATGTCTTCTTTAAGCTGAACCCAGTGCCCTGTCCCTGCGGCTGTGTCTCAGGTCGGGAGGCGGGTGTGTGTTTTTCTCTTTGTCACGACAGAAGCACAGAATACAGATGAGGTCATTCTCTGAAGGCAAGAGCGAGAGAAACCCTACACATCTGCTCCTCGGGGATGGATCAGGGTTTCGGGATCATGTGACCTGTTATGAAAGAGACCGTGACATGAGAACTGTGCGGAGACCATGGATGTGTGGATACAAAAACCTGAACCACATGGACTAGAGGCCACCCACAGTACTGCAGCTCTTCTCTCCCTCTGGTCTCTCTCTGGTCTCTCTCTTTCTGGTCCATCTCTGGTCTCTCTCTGATCTCTCTCCGGTCTTTCTCTGGTCTCTGTCTCCTCTCTCTCTGGTCTCTCTCTGGTCTCTGCTCTGGTCTCTCTCTTTCTGGTCCATCTCTGGTCTCTCTTTGGTCTCTCTCTGGTCTCTCTTTGGTCTCTCTCTGGTCTCTCTCTGGTCTCTCTCTGATCTCTCCCCGGTCTTTCTCTGGTCTCTGTCTCCTCTTTCTCTTCTCTCTTTCTGGTCCCTCTCTGGTCCCTCTCTGGTCTCTCTCTGGTCTCTCTCTGATCTCTCTCCGGTCTTTCTCTGGTCTCTGTCTCCTCTTTCTCTTCTCTCTTTCTGGTCCCTCTCTGGTCCCTCTCTGGTCTCTCTCTGGTCTCTCTCTGATCTCTCTCTGATCTCTCTCCGGTCTTTCTCCGGTCTTTCTCTGGTCTCTGTCTCCTCTTTCTCTTCTCTCTCTCTGGTCTCTCTCTGGTCTCTCTCTGGTCTCTCTCTCTGGTCTCTCTCTCTGGTCTCTCTCTGGCCTCTCACTGGTCTCTTTCTGGTCTCTCTCTGGTCTCGCTCTGGTCCTGTGCCCATGTCTCTATAGAACAAACACACCATGGTCTGCAGCTGCATCCGTCTGAATAAACATTGGTCTGGATCCAAACAGCTGCAAACAGAGAGATACTCATCCTCCATCTTCCACTCAGTCCTGGGTCTACAGCCTCAGTCCTGGGTCTAAATTCTCAGTCCTTGCTCTAAAGCCTCAGTCCTGGGTCTAAGTTCTCAGTTCTGGGTCTAAAGCCTCAGTCCTGGGTCTAAATTCTCAGTCCTTGCTCTAAAGCCCCAGTCCTGGGTCTAAATTCTCAGTCCTGGGTCTAAAGCCTCAGTCCAGGATCTAAAGTCTCAGTCCTGGGTCTACAGCCTCAGTCCTGGGTCTACAGCCTCAGTCCTGGGTCTAAATTCTCAGTCCTTGCTCTAAAGCCTCAGTCCTGGGTCTAAATTCTCAGTCCTGGGTCTAAAGCCTCAGTCCTGGGTCTAAATTCTCAGTCCTGGGTCTACAGCCTCAGTCCTGGGTCTACAGCCTCAGTCCTGGGTCTAAAGTCTCAGTCCTGGGTTTACAGCCTCAGTCCTGGGTCTATAGCCTCAGTCCTGGGTTATAGTCTCAGTGACGTCACACAAACAGCTTTGACTATTTCTGTACACTATTGAAATTCTAGGTATGTAAGAAGCAGCACTCATTCCCAGCGCAATATTACATCCTCCTCACATCTCTCTGGTCTCTCTCTGGTCTCTCTCTCTGGTCTCTCTCTCTGGTCTCTCTCTCTGGTCTCTCACTGATCTCTCTCTCGTCTCTCTCTGGTCTCTCTCTGGTCCCTCTCTGGTCTCTCTCTGGTCTCTCTCTGGTCTCTCTCTCTGGTCTCTCTCTGGTCTCTCTCTGGTCTCTCAGGTCTCTCTCTGGTCTCTCGCTGGTCTTTCTGGTCTCTCTCTGGTCCCTCTCTGGTCTCTCTCTGGTCTCTCTCTGGTCTCTCTCTGGTCTCTCTGGTCTCTCTCTGGTCCCTCTCTGGTCTCTCTCTGGTCTCTCTCTGGTCTCTCTGGTCCCTTTCTGGTCTCTCTCTGGTCCCTCTCTGGTCTCTCTCTGGTCTCTCTCTGGTCTCTCTCTGGTCTCTCTGGTCTCTCTCTGGTCTCTCTCTGGTCTCTCTTTGGTCTCAGCCTCAGCAGGACTCCTGTGCAGTCGTTTGGCTTCACTTCCGGTGACTCATCACAACAGCAGCAGCTCTGACTTGAGAGAGAGAGAGGGAGAGAGATAGAGAGGGAGAGAGAAAATATAGACAGCAATCACATGTACAGACAGGTGTAATAGAAGGAGGGAGAGAGAGAGCAGACAGATGTAGAAAGATGATGAGATACTGTTCATCAGAGCCAAGATGTCCAGTTCTCTTCAGTCCATGTTCTAGTTCATAATCTGGGAGAAGAGAGAGATGAAGTATTATGGACAGAAGAGGCCGATACACTGGGATATCAGAGGGGAGAGAGCACACAGAGACTATAGGAGAGAGAGAGAGAGAGAGAGCAGACAGAGACTATAGGAGAGAGAGAGAGAGAGAGAGAGCAGACAGAGACTATAGAAAAGAAGAGAGCAGCGAGTGAAGGCATAGCATTGGAGAGGGAAGAGAGGAGAAAGGAGAGAGAGAGGAGAGAGAGAGGAGAGAAGAGAGATTGAAGACAGGGTCTGGTTTTGACCCATATCTTAGTCTGGGTCTGATCCTGGTCAAATCTCTCTCCAGGTTGCGTCTTTGTCCCTTTCTCTGTCTTGGTAGGGTCTTGGTCCCCTTCTTGGTCTGGCCTTGGTCTTGGTCTGGCCTTGGTCTTCATCAAGTTTTGGTCTGTTTCTGACTCTAGATTGTGTCTTAGTCCTGGTGTTGTCTGCATCCAGGTCTTGCTTTGATCCTGGTCTGGTGTGATTTTGCTCTGGGTCTTTCTCTGGGTCTTGCTCAGGGTCTTGCTCTGGGTCTTTCTCTGGGTCTTTCTCTGGGTCTTGCTCTGGGTCTTGCTTTGAGTTTTGCAAGGTCTCTGGTCTCTCTCTGGTCATGTAGTGTTTCACTTTGTTATCAGTGTATTTAGTGAATAGACACCTAAAAACTGGTCTTGGGTTTGGTCTTGGTTCAGGTCTGGTCTTATGCTGGATCTGGATTGTGTCTTGGTCTGGGTCTTGGTCTTGATATTATTTTGGTCCATAACTTGGTGGATCTGGCCTCGGTCTTGGTCCGGTTTTGGTTCGTATATCAGTCCGGATATTGGTCTGGTCTTGGTCAGGGTTTTGGTCAAGGTCTGGTCTTGGTCTGGGACTTGGTCAAGGGCTGGTCTTGGGGTCTAGATCTTATTTTGGTCCATATATTGGTCTGTGTCAGGTTTTGGTTCGTATCAAGATCAGGGTCTGGGTGTTGGTTAGGGTCTTGATCTTGGTCAAGGTCTGGTCCTGTTCTTGGTCTTGGTCTTGGTCATGGTCTGGTCAGGGTCTTGGTCTTGATCCTTTTTTGGTCCATATCTTGGTGGGTCTGGCCTTGGTCTTGGTCAGGTTTTGGCCCATATCTCAGCCCAGGTCATGTTCTTGATCTTGGCCTGGGTCTGGTCCTGGGTCTGGTCCAGGCCTGTACCCAGTCTGTCTCTAACATGAGAATGTGGATAAAATGAAGTGAATTTTGTTCCTGTTCTTTCAGAGCGACAGAACGAGCTCTCGACCTTTAAAGACGAGATTACAGAGCACAGGCCTCACCTTTAGAGACTGCAGACAAAGAGGATTCTGGGAAATCTGTGATTACACACAGCTGAATGGAAGAACGAGAGAGAGAGAGAGAGAGAGAGAGAGAGAGAGAGAGAGAGACAGGGAGAGAGAGTTGAGACGGGGAGAGAGAGAGAGACAGAGAGAGAGGACAAGGGGTAGACAGAGAGGGACAGAGAGAGACAGGGAGAGAGAGAGAGAGAGAGAGAGAGAGGGCGAGACAGGGAGAGAGAGATGGAGAGAGAGAGACATAGAGAGAGAGAAAGAGAGACACAGGGAAAGAGAGAAGGGTAGAGGGAGAGACAGGGAGAGAGAGAGACCAAACCTACAGCTTTGAAGACTAAAAAATGTTGAATTAAAGTTGAGGTCTCTCTGGTCTCTCTCTGGTCTTCCTCTAGTCTCTCTCTGGTCTCTCTCTGGTTTCTCTCTGGTCTCTCTCTGGTCTTCCTCTAGTCTCTCTCTGGTCTCTCTCTGGTCTCTCTCTGGTCTATCTCTAGTCTCTCTCTGGTCTCTCTCTGGTCTCTCTCTGGTCTCTCTCTGGTCTCTCTCTAGTCTCTCTCTGGTCTCTCTCTGGTCTCTCTCTGGTCTATCTCTAGTCTCTCTCTGGTCTCTCTCTGGTCTCTCTCTGGTCTCTCTCTGGTCTCTCTCTAGTCTCTCTCTGGTCTCTCTCTGGTCTCTCTCTGGTCTATCTCTAGTCTCTCTCTGGTCTCTCTCTGGTCTCTCTCTTGTCTCTCTATAGTCTCTCTCTGGTCTCTCTCTAGTCTCTCTGGTCTCTCTCTGGTCTCTCTCATTATTGCTCCAAACTAACTCATAACTCATAACTTATAACTTCTACTATACTTAAACCCATATAAGGAACGTCCTGCTCTGGCATTCCACCCGGTCTCCTAGCAACCGCCTCCTCCCTCGCCACGGTCCCATCCCTTCACTGTCGTCATAGTTTTCGCACGTTCCGGCCTCTTGCCACGGAGAACCTGCCGTGCTGTGATTCATTCGGAGTTCGCCGCGACAAACCCGAAAGAATCCTCGCCGCCGACGCATCCGTCTGCCTGCGTCACCATGGAGACGGCAACAGCATCCGCCTGCGTTTCCCTGGAGACGGAAACAGGAAGCTGAAGCCAAAACCCGAGCGTGATGCCAGAGTCGTATGTGGGAGCTCCAGGCTGCTACTACAGAGAGAGAGAGAGAGAGAGAGAGAGAGAGAGGGAGAGAGAGAGAGAGAGAGAGAGAGAGGGGGTTTCTGGTCTCTCTCTGATCTCTGTGGTCACTTTTTGTTCTCCCTCTGATCTTGCCCTGTACTCTCTTTGGTCTCTCTCCCTGGTCTTGCTCTGGTCTCTCTCTTGTCTTTATCTGGTCTCTCTCTGGTCTCTCTCTGGTCCCTCTCTGGTCCCTCTCTGGTCCCTCTCTGGTCCCTCTCTGGTCCCTCTCTGGTCCCTCTCTGGTCCCTCTCTGGTCCCTCTCTGGTCCCTCTCTGGTCCCTCTCTGGTCCCTCTCTGGTCCCTCTCTGGTCCCTCTCTGGTCCCTCTCTGGTCCCTCTCTGGTCTCTCTCTGGTCCCTCTCTGGTCTCTCTCTGGTCTCTCTCTGGTCTCTCTCTGGTCTCTCTCTGGTCTCTCTCGTCTCTCGACGTCACTGTCCGTTGTTCCATCATAATTTTCACATGAGGTGTAAGCACAAGACACAAAAGATCTGCTCAACAAGAAACGATCAATCAGACGAGAGAGAACTCAAGAGACCGAGCATGCAAGAGAGAGAGACCAGAGAGAGACCAGAGAGGGACCAGAGAGAGAGACCAGAGAGGGACCAGAGAGAGAGACCAGAGAGTGACCAGAGAGGGACCAGAGAGGGACCAGAGAGAGAGACCAGAGAGTGACCAGAGAGGGACCAGAGAGAGACCAGAGAGTGACCAGAGAGAGAGACCAGAGAGAGATCAGAGAGGGACCAGAGAGGGACCAGAGAGAGAGACCAGAGAGTGACCAGAGAGAGACCAGAGAGAGACCAGAGAGAGAGACCAGAGAGAGACAGAGAGAGAGACCAGAGAGATCAGAGAGAGAGACCAGAGAGAGAGACCAGAGAGAGAGACCAGAGAGGGACCAGAGGGAGAGATCAGAGAGAGACAAGGGCGAGACCAGAGGGACCAGAGAGAGAGACCAGAGAGAGACCAGAGAGGGACCAGAGAGAGAGACCAGAGAGAGACCAGAGAGGGACCAGAGAGAGAGACCAGAGAGAGAGACCAGAGAGAGATCAGAGAGGGACAAGGGCGAGACCAGAGGGACCAGAGAGAGAGACCAGAGAGAGACCAGAGAGAGACCAGAGAGGGACCAGAGAGAGAGACCAGAGAGTGACCAGAGAGAGAGACCAGAGAGAGACCAGAGAGAGAGACCAGAGAGAGAGACCAGAGAGGGACCAGAGGGAGAGATCAGAGAGAGACAAGGGCGAGACCAGAGGGACCAGAGAGAGAGACCAGAGAGAGACCAGAGAGGGACCAGAGAGAGAGACCAGAGAGAGACCAGAGAGGGACCAGAGAGAGAGACCAGAGAGACAAGAGAGAGGGACCAGAGAGAGACACCAGAGAGAGACACCAGAGAGAGACACGAGAGAGGGACCAGAGAGAGACACCAGAGAGACAAGAGAGAGGGACCAGAGAGACAAGAGAGAGGGACCAGAGAGAGACACCAGAGAGACAAGAGAGAGGGACCAGAGAGAGACACCAGAGAGACAAGAGAGAGGGACCAGCGAGGGACCAGAGAGAGACACCAGAAAGACAAGAGAGAGGGACCAGAGATAGAGCGTGTTAAACCAGTTGATCTGTTGTTGGCGACTCCAAAACGATGCAGAATCCTCGGGGACGGCTGCTGTTGTGATTGAGGACCATAAACAAACACATTCATTTGAGTGTCTTATGGTCCTCTGTGTTGCTCTGGGTTCTGCCGGTCCCTCTCTGACCTCCTCCTGGTGTTGGTGCTGAGCCTCGTCCTCTCTCTGCTTTAGTATTCTGTTCAGCTTCAGTCTGCGGCAGGTTCTGCACAGAGGACTCACTGTAGTCCCTTTCTGGTCTCTCTCTCTCTCTGGTATCTCTTGCTGGTATGTCTCTGTCCTCTCTCTCTATTTCATCTCTCTGGTCTCGGCTTCTAGTTTCTTTAGGTAGTCTCTCTTTGGTCTCTCTTTGGTCTCTCTCTGGTCCCTCTCTGGTCCCTCTCTGGTCCCTCTCTGGTCCCTCTCTGGTCCCTCTCTGGGCTCTCCCTGGTGTGGCAATGTGGAGGCTGCTACGCACTCCTTAAATAATATTAAAATATAAATGAGAAAGAAAAACCAGCAACGCCAGGGCAAAGTGCCCAAAATAAAATATAAAGCGCTCTAAGGCGCACAGGTTCGTACATCATAATTGAGAGGCACAGACATTACGTTTACTTTGATTTATTATGTTCAGTTTAGTTCTCCTGATTCAACTAGGTTCTGTTTCATTTCACATTAATATTCACAAGCACACATCATCCTGTCACAAAGGACTCAGGAGTACAGGTGAACAACACCCAACAGAAACATAGAAGAACATGGAGAGAAACGAGAGACAACGGGAGAAACAGCGGTGGGCCGCGGTGTGGCCAGTCCTCAGCCTACGAATTAAAGTAGAGTTAAATTATCAGAACCACAATGCCGTCAGTGTGTGCAGCTAAGACCTACATTTCCACAGCCAACACTGAGCGCGCACTCTTGACGAGTAGCGGTTTACAGGCCCAGACCAACAGCCGGCTACGACGCACTCGGACCCCAGCAATGAGGGCGGCCAGACACCAAAGCAACTGAACAGTGTGGCCGTGCACAAGGAGGACTCGCGGGGCACAATGCCACACCGCGGCACTACAGCAACAAGTCAACATTAGTGGCTGAATCTTACAATTATTAAAATTGACACTAAAAACTACTACCTGGAGCAGGAGAAGGGCTGGCGCGACGACACACAAGAGACGGAAGTGCAGAGGTAAACAAAAGACGTAAATCTCTGCTATTTATACTGGGCGTAGGCGCCCTCTACTGGACAGAAATATGGTGGCCAAGTCCAGCTTGCCACATTCATCCCCCCAAAGTTTTGACGACGCCCCGACGTCAACTAAACTCACACACAACTCTCGAATATAGCGCTATCACTCATACATGAACGTTCCTGACACACGCATCTAAAAGCTAAAAACCAGTCTACGCGGGTTTGAGCCACTAAAAGACCACGCAGCGCTAAGCTTAAAACAAACTAAAAACACATCAGTGGCAGCCACCGAGCATAACGCAACTGGATGATCACTGTTCCAATTCCAATGCCGTGAAGGCGAGAAAAGGAGGCCCTGAAGGCTTTGAAAATCCACTGCAAGTTTCTCATACTCAAGCCTACCTGCTGCACACGGAAGTACTCCCTGACCACACAGGTAAACAGGTGCGCCTTAAACGCCAAGTGAGGCATCCTTAATCTCACTACACCACTGCTGTCTGGGATTACGCCACAGGAGCCTCCGAGTTACAGGTGTGCAGGTTCCACTAGGCTTCACGGGTGACCATCTGAAATCCCGTCTCATCTCTCCGCAACTATACTGCTCCAACCACCGCTGTTTCTCCTTCACAAAACACAGAATTTACAACAGTAGTGCGACACATTACAGCAACACCAGACAGATAGCATAGCAAAAGTTCACATGTGAGGGTTTTAGCCGTGTCATTTTATGGCTGTGTTTAAATTTGAAACAAAGACCATGCACAAATCAAAAGCACACAAAAAAAGCACATCAAAACAAAGAAAATAATAAAACACAAGACAAAACAATGACAGGTTTTAAGTCACATAAAACAAAACGCTAATGCTACTGAAATTGGCTACAAAGAACAGAGTACACTATGCCTCATTTTAACGATTATCCTGCCAGCGTACGCCAAGTGTGGCAATGTGGAGGCTGCTACGCACTCCTTAAATAATATTAAAATATAAATGAAAAAGAAAAACCAGCAACGCCAGGGCAAAGTGCCCAAAATAAAATATAAAGCGCTCTAAGGCGCACAGGTTCGTACATCATAATTGAGAGGCACAGACATTACGTTTACTTTGATTTATTATGTTCAGTTTAGTTCTCCTGATTCAACTAGGTTCTGTTTCATTTCACATTAATATTCACAAGCACACATCATCCTGTCACAAAGGACTCAGGAGTACAGGTGAACAACACCCAACAGAAACATAGAAGAACATGGAGAGAAACGAGAGACAACGGGAGAAACAGCGGTGGGCCGCGGTGTGGCCAGTCCTCAGCCTACGAATTAAAGTAGAGTTAAATTATCAGAACCACAATGCCGTCAGTGTGTGCAGCTAAGACCTACATTTCCACAGCCAACACTGAGCGCGCACTCTTGACGAGTAGCGGTTTACAGGCCCAGACCAACAGCCGGCTACGACGCACTCGGACCCCAGCAATGAGGGCGGCCAGACACCAAAGCAACTGAACAGTGTGGCCGTGCACAAGGAGGACTCGCGGGGCACAATGCCACACCGCGGCACTACAGCAACAAGTCAACATTAGTGGCTGAATCTTACAATTATTAAAATTGACACTAAAAACTACTACCTGGAGCAGGAGAAGGGCTGGCGCGACGACACACAAGAGACGGAAGTGCAGAGGTAAACAAAAGACGTAAATCTAGGCTATTTATACTGGGCGTAGGCGCCCTCTACTGGACAGAAATATGGTGGCCAAGTCCAGCTTGCCACACTGGTCTTTCTCTTGGCTCTCCCTGGTCTCTCTCTGGTCACTCTCTGGTCTCTCTTTGGTCTCTCTCTGGTCTCTCTCTAGTCTCTCCCTGGTCTCTCTCTGGTCGTCTCTCTCTTGTCTCTCTCTGGTCCCTCCCTGGTCTCTCTCTGGTCTCTCCATGGTCCCTCTCTGGTCTCGCCCTGGTCTCTCTCTGGTCTCTTTCTGGTCTCTCTCTGGTCTCTCTTTGGTCTCTCTCTGGTCTCTCTTTGGTCTCTCTCTGGTCTCTCTCTAGTCTCTCTCTGGGCTCTCCCTGGGGTCTCTCTAGTCTCTCTCTGTTCTCACCCTAGTCCCTCTCTGGTCTCGCCCTGGTCTCTCTCTGGTCTCTCTTTGGTCTCTCTCTGGTCTCTCTCTGGTCTCTCCCTGGTCTCTCACTGGTCTCTCTCTGGTCTCTCTCAGGTCTCTCTCTGGTCTCTCTCTGGTCCGTCTCAGGTCTCTCTCTGGTCTCTCTCTGGTCTCTCTCTAGTCTCTCTCTGGTCTCTCTCAGGTCTCTCCCTGGTCTCTCACTGGTCTCTCTCTGGTCTCTCTCTGGTCTCTCTCTGGTCTCTCTCTGGTCTCTCTGTAGTGTCTCTCTGGTCTCTCTCTAGTGTCTCTCTGGTCTCTCTCTGGTCTCTCTCTGGTCCCTCTCTGGTCTCTCTCTGGTCTCTCTCTGGTCTCTCTCTGGTCTCTCTCTGGTCTCTCTCTGGTGTCTCTCTGGTCTCTCTCATGTCTCTCTCTGGTCTCTCTCTGGTCCCTCTCAGGTCTCTCTCTGGTCTCTCTCTGGTCTCTCTCTGGTCTCTCTCTGGTCTCTCTCTGGTCTCTCTCTGGTCTCTCTCTGGTCTCTCTCCGGTCTCTCTCTGGTCTCTCTCTTATCTCTCTCTGGTCTCTCTCTGGTCTCTCTCTAGTCCCTCTCTGGTCTCGCCCTAGTCCCTCTCTGGTCTCGCCCTGGTCTCTCTCTGGTCTCTCTTTGGTCTCTCTCTGGTCTCTCTCTGGTCTCTCCCTGGTCTCTCTCACTGGTCTCTCTCTGGTCTCTCTCAGGTCTCTCTCTGGTCTCTCTCTGGTCCGTCTCAGGTCTCTCTCTGGTCTCTCTCTGGTCTCTCTCTAGTCTCTCTCTGGTCTCTCTCAGGTCTCTCCCTGGTCTCTCACTGGTCTCTCTCTGGTCCCTCTCAGGTCTCTCTCTGGTCTCTCTCTGGTCTCTCTCTAGTGTCTCTCTGGTCTCTCTCTAGTGTCTCTCTGGTCTCTCTCATGTCTCTCTCTGGTCTCTCTCTGGTCCCTCTCAGGTCTCTCTCTGGTCTCTCTCTGGTCTCTCTCTAGTGTCTCTCTGGTCTCTCTCATGTCTCTCTCTGGTCTCTCTCTGGTCCCTCTCAGGTCTCTCTCTGGTCTCTCTCTGGTCTCTCTCTGGTCTCTCTCTGGTCTCTCTCTGGTCTCTCTCTGGTCTCTCTCTGGTCTCTCTCTAGTGTCTCTCTGGTCTCTCTCATGTCTCTCTCTGGTCTCTCTCTGGTCCCTCTCAGGTCTCTCTCTGGTCTCTCTCTGGTCTCTCTCTGGTCTCTCTCTGGTCTCTCTCTGGTCCCTCTCAGGTCTCTCTCTGGTCTCTCTCTGGTCCCTCTCAGGTCTCTCTCTGGTCTCTCTCTGGTCTCTCTCTGGTCTCTCTCTGGTCTCTCTCTGGTCTCTCTCTGGTCTCTCTCCGGTCTCTCTCTGGTTTCTCTCTGGTCTCTCTCCGGTCTCTCTCTGGTCTACACAATACAATACAATACAATTTATTCTTGTATAGCCCTAGGTCACAACAGAAGTCATCTCAGAGGACTTAACAAAACCATTGAAATCACCAACACAGGTCAGAGAATCAACAGTTAAAACACATGAAGAATACAGTATAAAGCACACACAGAAGAAAATGTCCATACATGTTGTAGAATGCTAAAGTGTCCTGATCATCACCAATCCTTTCTGTTGGACACTAACTGTCCAACAAGACCCTCCTGCATCGACAAGGAAAAACTCTTAAAAAACCCAGTGGGAAAAAGTGAGAAACCTTGGAGGAGAACTAGGGAAACCCACAGGGAGGGAGACCCATATGAGAAAGGGATCCGCTCCTCCGGACGGACAGACTAATGATCTAGGACCTAAGCTAGCTACAGAACGTGGACCAGTGGACGCTGAACGTGGACAGGTCCGGTGCAGGACCGAAGCACTCCCAGGCGGGTCGGGCAGGGCAGTCCGCAGGTGTAGATGGAAGAGGCCAGGCTCAGAGATCCCGTCATCGTACCATGAAACAGACAATGGGACAACGGGTGAATAGCAATGAACAAGAGAGAGACCAGAGAGAGACCAGTGGTCTCTCTCTTATCTCTCTCAGGTCTCTCTCTGGTCTCTCTCTTATCTCTCTCTGGTCTCTCTCTGGTCTCTCTCTGGTCTCTCTCTTATCTCTCTCTGGTCTCTCTCTGGTCTCTCTCATGTCTCTCTCTGGTCTCTCTCTGGTCCCTCTCAGGTCTCTCTCTGGTCTCTCTCTGGTCTCTCTCTGGTCTCTCTCTGGTCTCTCTCTTATCTCTCTCTGGTCTCTCTCTAGTCCCTCTCTGGTCTCGCCCTAGTCCCTCTCTGGTCTCGCCCTGGTCTCTCTCTGGTCTCTCTTTGGTCTCTCTCTGGTCTCTCTCTGGTCTCTCCCTGGTCTCTCACTGGTCTCTCTCTGGTCTCTCTCAGGTCTCTCTCTGGTCTCTCTCTGGTCCGTCTCAGGTCTCTCTCGGGTCTCTCTCTGGTCTCTCTCTAGTCTCTCTCTGGTCTCTCTCAGGTCTCTCCCTGGTCTCTCACTGGTCTCTCTCTGGTCCCTCTCAGGTCTCTCTCTGGTCTCTCTCTGGTCTCTCTCTAGTGTCTCTCTGGTCTCTCTCTAGTGTCTCTCTGGTCTCTCTCATGTCTCTCTCTGGTCTCTCTCTGGTCCCTCTCAGGTCTCTCTCTGGTCTCTCTCTGGTCTCTCTCTGGTCTCTCTCTGGTCTCTCTCTGGTCTCTCTCTGGTCTCTCTCTGGTCTCTCTCTAGTGTCTCTCTGGTCTCTCTCATGTCTCTCTCTGGTCTCTCTCTGGTCCCTCTCAGGTCTCTCTCTGGTCTCTCTCTGGTCTCTCTCTGGTCTCTCTCTGGTCTCTCTCTGGTCCCTCTCAGGTCTCTCTCTGGTCTCTCTCTGGTCCCTCTCAGGTCTCTCTCTGGTCTCTCTCTGGTCTCTCTCTGGTCTCTCTCTGGTCTCTCTCTGGTCTCTCTCCGGTCTCTCTCCGGTCTCTCTCTGGTCTCTCTCTTATCTCTCTCAGGTCTCTCTCTGGTCTCTCTCTTATCTCTCTCTGGTCTCTCTCTGGTCTCTCTCTGGTCTCTCTCTTATCTCTCTCTGGTCTCTCTCTGGTCTCTCTCTAGTCCCTCTCTGGTCTCACTCTCGTCTCTAGACGTCACTGTCCGTTGTTCCATCATAATTTTCACATGCGGTGTAAGCACAAGACACAAAAGATCTGCTCAACAAGAAACGATCAATCAGACGAGAGAGAACTCAAGAGACCGAGCATGCAAGAGAGAGAGACCAGAGAGAGACCAGAGAGGGACCAGAGAGAGAGACCAGAGAGGGACCAGAGAGAGAGACCAGAGAGTGACCAGAGAGGGACCAGAGAGGGACCAGAGAGAGAGACCAGAGAGTGACCAGAGAGAGACCAGAGAGGGACCAGAGAG